CCTGCGACAGGTGTTGATCATCGCACTTCATCAACCTACAATTTTAGTAAGGTCTAGTTTACCAAAGCGGCGAGAAGGTCCTGGACTCGTCAAATGTTGGTCTATGATGCATCCTCCAGCTTTCGGGTTAAAACGTCCAGAAAGAGTGCTGCGTCCCGAGTTCAATTTTGAGGATAAGTGCTTCCCTCTGGGCGACTCAGCATAGATTTCATCTCGAGGTTGATGCCATGCGGACTCATGAGGTCCTTCGGCAGTCGGAGGGCGAAGTCCACAGCTGTGCTCGTCTTCTTCATCCATGTGGGAAATCGAAATGAGAATGTTGGCCATGAGCGCTGCGCTAGACTGCCCATGGCCGGCGAGAATGGAATTAGCCCGTGGCGTAACTGGTCTGCTGACATTACTGCTGCCGAAGGATTGAGCAGAGGCAGAACTTCGGCCGGAGGTCGAACACGAATTTGGACCAGGACGATCGCAATGACCGCTTGCGACATAACTCCCACTATGTTCATCAGAGTCATAATGATACCTCTCCATAACATCTTCAACAGCGGCAAAGCCTTTGATACCGATTTGGTCTTGAAAGCGAAACGTATGTAGAGAAGGCTCCAATGACTCTTGGGAGAGAACAGTAATGCTTGTTTTGGAACTGGATTTCTTCCTCAGCTTCAGAAGCTTCATAATTCTACCCCCTATATGTTGCCCTGAAGATTTCGGTGAACCGGATGATGGCACCTGCGAAAGATCCATAGATTTGAGACCACGTGAAGTACGATCGCCTGGGGCTGGACGAAGATGACTGGTGCAGAATTCTGCACTCCGCCTACGAGATGGGGGTTCCCATTTTGAAACAGGGGACATGTACGATATATCACATTTCGACCCCATCGTGATTAAAAAGAAGCAGTCCCCAGCGAGCTCTCAAATGCAGGTACTAAGCACTCTATGCCTGACCCACTCCGTCATCTTCCTCGAGAATCAACTAAGAGTTCAGAATCACGAGTTTGAGTTTCTTCATCATAAATCGTTAACGAACTCTGAGAATTTGACCCGCTTTCCTCACAACCTCTCAACCAAGACCAAGACTCACGAGGGGCAAAACCCTCGAAACGTGCTCTGTAATAATCAGTATGCATAGATTGCATGCGAAAGGTATATAAGCAGCTGGTGCATGCGGTCACGCATTCGGAGGAGGAGGACCAAACACAAAGAAGCGCGGCAGAGTATCCGATTGCAGGAGACCAGAAACGTGTTTTATCAAAGGTTTGAAGATGAATCGTGGGATAAAAAGAGGCAAAATTAGAAAGAGTGAAAAAATGGGAGCCCGCGAGGATAAAAGAAGAAAGAATGTTATGTGCAAGTCGTCAAAACGAGTGCACGTCTGCAATGTAATGGACTACTTGGTGGCCCCTTCCCGAACCCTTCGCCTCACTTTTCTCTGAAGAATGTGACCCTCACCATCGAAAATCCCACCATTGATCGTGTACGCTACGACACGCTCAATGAGGACGTGAAAATGGCGGGGAAGATTCTACCTCTGCATACGCTGGCCTGCAGGGTAAGGTAAAAAGCACCTCATCACCAAAACATCGTGCCATTAGCCAAGCATCTTCTCCGCATCTCACTGTTCTGTTACGAGTCCTGCGGGTAATTTATGACTCAGGGGTTTACTCCCCGAGTTCTATGCTTCTCTTTTCCCGCATCCTGATGATCCACGAGAGTTACCGCTCCGCCCTTCCCGACCTCTGAAAGCAACGGCCACCTTAACGTGCAGTGGTTGTCAGAAACTCTGAACTCAGAGAATGCCTTGTCCATGGGGAAAAACACTAATCAGTGCCCGCCTACAAGCATACAGATGCTAATAACAGCCTGACTGACAGTACAACACCATGGCTGCAACCTCAAACTCCTTACTGAAAACCGGAAAAATAAAAATATAACTACTTCTTCTGGTAACTTCAAAAGAGAGAAAACTGACGTCGGGGACGCAACACGACAGACAAAAAGAAAAACAGAGCCGCAACGATGCGAAGGCAGATTGGCCATTTCGGGATATGTGACCTCTGCAATGTTCCAGGAATATGCTTTCCCGGATGAAGCATCGCTCGCACCCGTGGTCGCGCAAACCGCAGCACTGTGTGGACCGTTGGCAGCAGAAGTAATGGCCACAGCCCTCTCTACACCACCGTAACACGACGATCACACGACCTCGTGGGAAAAAGTAAAAGGCACGCTCGCGTGCATGAAAGTAGAAGGACGCGTCCGAGGACAAAAAGTGCAAAATGAAAATTTTAACGAGTGAAAGTGAAAAGTTGGCATATTCACATTGGTAAAAATAAAAGTGTACTGAACGTGACGTGGTGAAAGTAAAAGGCTGAAGTCCGTCCCACGTAGATATGGAGAGTGTGTTGATTTAACTATGTTTGCTTATTCCATCTTTTTCTTTTTCTTCTTTACTTTTTTACTATTCAGAGAGTAAACCAAAATCTTATTGCTTAGTAAATTCAATTTTTTGAGTGAATTGATTTGAAATCAAAATTATGTAATATCATACCCAATGCAAGTCTTTGAAATACAATAAAATAAGTTTTGAATGTATCTTATTTCATATATAACATAGGTAATATCTCTAAAACATTGTTCACCCTTTTCATCAAATATTCCCTACATTTCTAATATATATATATATATATATATATATATATATATATGTGTGTATGTATATATAATTGATTTTGGGTATAATTGGTTGCAATTCCCTATTTTTTATTTGTTTATTTTTTTCTTTTATTTTCTTTTTTAAATCTCTAGAAGGGAATATTTGACCTCAATGTAATTGCATAATATGTCGATATACTTGTATAAATTTCTAAGGTGAAAAACCCTAGTACATTTTCTATAGATGCATAATATTGATTGTGTAAGTGTTTATTTTTAGTCTTCATAAAACTCTTTAGACGTAGTTGTACTGTAACTATTTCTGAAATTTAACTTCAGAAGATAAAACAACATGTAGAGAGAAATCAATCACACTTATACAGAATATATGTATATTGAAATATTGTTCTTGTAGTTATTTTTCCATAATTCATCCAAACAGTTTCTTTTTCAAAATGTTATATTTAATTCAAAATAAGGTACATGAAACAGTAATTTTTTATTTTAGCACAGATAATGTATACCATGTTAATTTATTGCATAACCTATACTTTTGAAGAAATTCCAATAATAATCAATTATACAAATTTAAAATGTTTATTTTTGTATGCATGTTGATAAATAGTTTATATGAATATGGGTGAACTTGCATTAAGCATATGATTTATTTATTTATTTATTCATTTGTTTTGTTTTTGTTTTTGTTTTTTTTTTTTTTTTGACAACATTACATCATAAGCATTGAGGATTTGTGTAGAAAAGTCGAAACACACATTGAGCTTCAGTTATAAAAACTATTTAATTCAAACAGTTGTGTATAAGTTTTATCAGAACTTGATTTTATGCAGGATTCTAATTCATTTTTTGGATTTTTAATAAATGAGTACTTTTGGATTATGTTGCGACATATTTACCAAAGCTTAAATTATGTTTCATGAATTATAAATATTTCTATTTTAATATTTGCATGCTACATGTTCTTTCAGAACACAAAACTTTTGTTCAAAACATTATTTCAGTCCCCCATTTGTATTTACTTTTATTTTGTTTGCTTTATCTGTTGCAAGCAAAAAATCATTTCCCTATTTGCAAATACTTTCAGATTTATTCCCCTATTTGTAAATTCCCCTTGAATCAACCATGTTGTTCCCATAGGACAATAACAAGGAATTTTCTCTCTCTCTCTAAACATATATATATATATATATATATATATTTAGAGAGAGAGACAGAGAGAGAGAGAAAGTACACACACCCATTATTTTTAAACAAAAATATATACAATTCAAGTTAAGAAACATTCTTCAATTTGTTTTTTCCTTCATTGAATCATGATTTCTGAAAAATCACATAGCACTGATCAGAATTTTTTCAACATTAGAATTGGCATACAGTGCTTATTGTATTGGGTAACATTAAAAAAATTGTTAACCAGTTCATTCCTGTGTGAACAGTGAATGTGGCCATTTCAAAAATCTGTTAGTATGTCCCATTAATAAATCAAATGAATAATTCTTTATAGAAACCCATCAAAAAAAGTAGTTGGCTGGATAATAACACTCATTCGAAGATCATAAGCCTTCATCCCCCCCCCTTTTTAATTTTTAATTTTTTTTGTATAAATATTATCCACCACCACAATCTCTTCTTCCCACTTCTACACCATTACTTGTGTGTATTTTTCTAATGTGCACTTCATATCCACAAAAAATACAAAAATGAAAATCCACACTCCAATTCCACTACCAGTTGACAAAATTAAAATAAAATAGTAGAATGTTCAAATACTTTGATCTCACGATTATCTGAAAAAACGTGACTTTAAACATCATTTTCACCCAAAACAACAAAATTTCCTTTTTATTATCCTGGCACTTTTTTTTCATTCCTTTTTCTTTCGTTAAAAACAACTTCACCAAGTTTTAAAAGGGCTATTTTAGAATTCTAAACTACATTGCACAGCAATTACCAAATTTGAAAAAAATTACAAGAAATCTTTTCATATCGCAAATTTACTAGAAGGAACTGAAACCTTCAAAATAGTCAATAACATCAATGCACCCATTTCCTAATATCCAAATTGTAATACACACACACACACACACACACACACACACATATATATATATATATATATCTACAATTATACATCCTTTTATACATACATACATACATACAAATTTATAATGATGTAACATGGAGCCACGGTGCGGTTAAGGGTAGGATTAGCGGGTATAGGATACGAAACGGGATTAGGCACACCAGTATTGACGCCGATTGCCGTCGGCGCAAACGCAGCCTGCCGCAAATGATAACGGCGGCAGAACGGGAGCGAGGGAGCGAGGGAGCGAGGGAGCGAGGGCTACTCTTGCTTGCAACTGATTGATTTGCAGGTGCAGGAGCAGCAGCAGGAGGGTCTGAGCAAGGAAGCAAGGTCCTGTTGAATCCTGTGTATTCTCCCGCAATTCAACAAAACCCAACAAAACCCTCAATTCATTTGCCACCCTGAATGCGCGTCGTCATCGATTTAGCTCGCGGATTGATTCCCGACATGGTCTACACCCTTGTCGGGACGTCGATTGTTGCTGGAAAGATTTAGGGTTTGGGCCTTCGCAGGGCGTTGCTGTTGGGATTATATATATAAATATATATATTTTTGTGTGGGTAGGCGTGTCGTGGGGCGATTCCAGTTCCTCCATGCGTGTGGGAGCCACCGGTACGTCGCCATGAGCCGATTGTCCTTCAGACCTAGGCCGTTAGACATCCACAAAAAGCTTCCGATTGTGAAGTCTATCAAGGACCTTGACTTCGAGGATTCGAATGTCGGTCGCGCTGCGCACTCTTCGAATGATGTCGAATGCGAGAATTTGGTGAGCCCCCCCTGTGTCTGCATTTGCGATGGAACAGGATGATATAATCTGATTGTTGAGTAGTTAGAGGTTTGGTTTTGATTGTTTGTTTGTTTGTTTGTTTTTTTGGATTATCCGGATTTATTTTCAGTGCTTTATGAAGTTTGGCTGTTGGAGGTCTCACAGGTGCTAACCCCTGCGAAGAAAGCTGGAACGGGGTCGGAGATTCCAACACCCCAATTCCTAGTTGTCGACAGCTATGAGAAGGACTACACGCAGTCGTTTGTGCAGCCTCCCTCTTACATACGGGGGCGACCAGGTATGTGCCGTGGAACCTGGCCAATTCCTGCTCTGTACAATACCCTTTGCAATTTGGATACGATTTCAGGATTTTACGTAATTTGAGTTATAATATTGAATGGGTCGGACTCGTCTACACTTTTTTTTTTTTTTTTTTTTTTTTTTTTTTTGTTTTTTTAGATCTTTCTTTATAGATTAGAGAGCAGCCTTTGGCATAAATTTTTTATCTTTTTTGCATTTTTCATAACTGTTCATGTTACTTTGTTTGTAAGCTAATTCTAGGCATGTAGCTGCCGTAGTGCAGTAGATGTGATACTGTCGTATGCATTCAATGCAGCTGACTGAGATCGTGTCCTGGATGGCGTCTAACAGTATATGTGAAATTATTACATTACATTGCCCACTTATGCTGTGAAGCAATAGTAACACGGTCATTGACTTTCTCACGTTTGTTTGTTGCAGCAAGGAATGAAAACACGGAATTCTGTGAATATGACCTGGATAACGATGACGAAATCTGGCTTCTGCAGTTTAATAACGATCGTAAAATTCTGCAACCAGAGAAGTAATGGTCTCTTGACATTAGCAGCATCATTGCACTTTGTTATCGTCATTCATGTCGATATCTCTATGCATGAAACTTCATTATTAAATTTCGGTCTCTAGTCTTTGCATGACACTGAAGCGTAATTTCTTGTTCTTATTTTGCCTTCTTTTTATTTTATTTATTTTAGTATTTTTATTTTGATTGCCTGGCTGGGCAGTTCAGGTTCGGAATTGCTCTTGTCCTTGTGTGGTGACTTGTCGTTTACATGTGGGCTGGTTATGATTCTCTGGAATGCTTGTATGGTGGCTTTTTGAGTTAACGTCTTGAAGTGTATACATGTTTTAATAGGAGCACCAGTATCCAATGAGCTGAATTGGTGGTTTCACCTGTGCAGGTTTGAGATGATGTTGTACAAGTTGGAAATTATGGATCACAAGACAGCGGAAAGGCAAGGGTCGTTAGTACCAGTACTCGGTGCGCCCATCCCAATTGTTCTTACGAAGGATGTTGCAATTGAGGTCATTTTCTCACCACTGTGCCCCTTGTTGTGCGAGGTCTCATTTTAGATTGATATTTTGAAATTAGGAATTTAATTGGCTCAAGATTATTCTTGTTGATCCAACTCTAGCAGCAGATAGAAAACACTGTTGTTAGGAGACTGATGGTTGTGCAGCATAATTGCAGGTGCTGAAACAAGTTATTAACAGGCCTACTGTACTCGGAGCTGTGTATGATTACTGGAGGATAAAGGTTCTCATTTCTTTTTTGCGGATTTGCTGATTGTGGGAGCATAGGTAGTTTTATACCAATTCGCTGGGCAATGCTCAAGTGTTTGAATAGTTTGTGCATGTGTTTCCCTTTGCATTCCAACTTCTAATTATGTCTTGGTTGAGATCATATTTGCTGGTGTGAAGCTTTGCAGTTGTTCTGTGATATGAAACTAAATTTTGCCGATGTATTAATTGGTTCCTAAATCGTGAGCCTGGTTAACGCAGAGAGAGAAATGGCAAAAGCCTATCCTTCGTCGACTACAGGTTCTTCCTCTTACCTTTCACTATCAACTGCTCTTGTTTCTTTCTGCGAAGTTGAAAGTTGGAGCTAAAAATAACGTCCAGCAATCAATATTTGGTGCTTGTTCTTGTTCATTTCCGTGCTGTGATGGCGAAACATTATTGAGTGTCTGCACATTTTGGCTTCATCGTTTTGGAATATTGTGATCATAACAAATATTTTCACCCTTAGTAGTAACTTACAAGAGTCGTTTTATTTTGCAGCCACCTCCACCTGTAAATGACACGAATCCGTTCAACGTGTTCAGACCAAGGGAGAAAATTCACCGTCCACACACTCGTCGCGTACTGATTCTATCCATATCTAACTTGCTTATGTTGTATTAGATATTTATGAATGAGACGTTTCATTCTTGCTGCCTAACCTGACATTTCTCATTAATCGCCAAGTCTTAGTGAAAAGTCGCATCGTATTTCCTATTTAATTTTCAGTGAGTCATGGTCAATCAACTCTTTTAGGACCTTTTTTGTGGACTATATGAAAATCAGTTGACGAGAGTCATGCAGAGCTGTTTTCCTGACTTGAAAATTTTGTGTGCAGATGCAAAGACGCGAGAATGATTTGCAATCTTTTGAAAAGCTCCGTCAGGTACTGTGACTGGATCTCTTATGTGTTACTGAAGAGCTTATTTGAAAAAAACATCTTCACAAGTATTGACGTCCATTTTTTTTTGTCTAAAATGGTTTATCTTTTTGGACATTCTAGTTTCTGCCGTTCCTTATTACTTCAGTGTTTCTTTCTCTGCTGAGAGTAACTCTTAGTTCAAGACGCAGAAATTGATGTTAATCTTAATTCTGATTAATTGTGGCGTGAACTGGGTTTGGCTGGTTTAGGTTCGCCTCAACATCGAAAGATCACTGCTGCTTATACGAGCTGTACAGCAGGTATGATTTGTACTCGACTAACCGTAGGCGATGGACTTCCGTTCTTTGTTCATATTTTGCTTTTGTTCTATCTCTTCGCTAAAATTTTAAGCGATATAGCATTGTTATGCTCTGACACTATCCTGAAATTCCCTCAGAGGGAGGAAAGGAAGCGGGAGATTGTGGAGGTAGAAGCAAATGCTCAAAGATTGCAGTTAAGACTGAAAGCTGACCAGGTAAAGCCTTTCTCTTCACTTGCTATTAGGCATCACGATTAATGTTTCTTGTCAAATGCCTATACACCTGAAATGCGGTAGTCATAGACTTACATGTTGCTTATGGTTTTGTGTTCGTGTTTACTCTATCATGAATGAATTCTGCATGTTCGCAAGAATTTGTAACACGTAACTGGGAAACATTGCAGTTTGCACAACATGACGCTTTACGAGCGGAAGACGATGGTGGGGGATTGCCCTCAAGCAAGTTTGGCCGGGCAGAGGATGGGCATCGATTCATGTCGAGAGGCGATCATGTGAATGGGGTAAAATTTGGCCGCTCGGTGTCGACCTTGGAACTGAATTTGTCTCCTTATGATGGCGTCGCTGCAAATGAACACCAGGAGATTCGTAGGCCGAGAAGAAGGCCTAGATTTCCTCCTCCTCGATATCAAATGAAAGAGAAGGTATTCTTTCTCACGCCTATATTGCACATAACGAGCATGTTTCCTGCTGTTTTCAATGTCTAGTTATGCTTACACCAATTAAGAACAATTCACAGTTTGATTGGTGTAGCCTGTGGCAATGATTAGATTATTTTTTCCTCTTGGGTTAGCTTTGCTTTTCTGTAGCTCAGATGATTCCTGCTGCCAGTTTCTTACCGCTACTGTTGCTGCTGCCCTTTACAGATGAAAAACTTGGACCCTATGGAGCCAGCCTTTTTATTCACAAAACCATTAGATTCAGGAAAACTAGCAGCCGCAGGTATTGGTTTTAGAGAAAATGACCCAAAGTTCTCATCATTTCGCTTGTCTGCTAGAATCGGCCGTGGAGGTCGTATTGTATATGATCGGTGGAACCCGTTTATTGGCTCCCCGTTCGATAGCCATAACCATAGCCATAGCCACATCTCTTCATTGTCGATTGGAGCTCCTGTAAATAGATTCGGAGCCCGCCCGTTTAGGCGTGTTGCAGATCCCCTTGCCCATACGGATACAATCCCATCTGCTGTGCATTTTGGACCTGCACCTCCAAGTACTAGTGCTACACCCTTCTAATTTTGAAGTAAGGGAAATTGCTCACCAGATCATGCCTGGTCTCTTTTCATCTTGGTTAGTAGATGGCTTATTTTATTTTATTTTATTTTGCTTTGTTTTGTTTGTTTGTTTGTTTGTCTGTTTTTTTTTTTTTTTTTTTTTTTTTTTTTTTTTTTTTGCCCCCATTGGTATTGCATCGTCAGTTTCTTCCATAAGATATTCACCCATCTCTGGTATGTTTGGCGGCTTCTTATGTCTTTTTGACGTGTGCGGATACTTCTTTTGTTACGCCGCTGGATTTTCAAGAAATGCCTGCTCTTATTTCAGTGTGAAGAAGTGACATGTGCAACACTGGTTAAGTGGGTTAGCACCGACAGGTTTTTCTTATGGAATTCAGAATTTTCTTGAGCAACTTGTGAAGTTGTCCAGCATGATGCAGTGGTTGAACTATAGTATGTGCGAGTTGTCTATTCTTCATAGATTCCAGAGGAAGTTTCGCCATAAACACTTTCATTGAAACCACGCAGCAAAGTAGAGAGTGGCACTTCAAAGAGAATAAAAAGATAAAAAATAAAAAATAAAAACAGAGAAAGACGATACGAAGTTAAGTATGCTTTTGGAGAATGTTGGGAAGATGTTGATGTTCCATGTTGCAATTTTTATTTAGAAGATATAATTTCCTATTGAAGGCAGAGGAGGTTATATCCTCCAGTTCCCTTTCAACAATTTTTGTTTTTAATGTGTTTTATGTTGTGCCTTGTTTTGCGACACAAAAGGAATGTATTTTAGATAAAAACAGAACAAAAAAAAAGTAAAGAAAAGAAAAGAAAAAGAAAAAAACACTCTTTGTAAGTTTAGTGTAGCAAGACTTTGCAACTACGAGATTTTCGTTTGAATGGGATAAATGAAACAACCTCCTGTTATATTTATTATAGTGTTGTAGTCTTATCTTAAATTAAGAAAGTTGTAGTTTTTAACTTTATCCCTGATGTAATTAAGAATCTACAAAAAATTAAGAAACAAATTAACATATTAAATTGATGAATTTCTCAGATTCATAATTTAGGATAAAATTTAAGAATCTACAAAACACTATTGACCTTGGTTTCATAAACATAATATTTTTTTAACATATTTATTCTATTTTTATGTAATATTAACTAAATGATTTAATACATAACATCAAAGCAAAGTATGTTGTATTTTTCTAAATTTTTTGATTAGAATATAATTTTTTGATAAGAATGTAATTTCAATTTGATGAATACAAAGCACATTAATATGATGTAATATCATGTCATGTTTATTTTAAGTTTTAACATGTACATATTTTTAATTTAATTTATGACCCACAATAAATTTATTTAAATTTCATTTATGCAAATGCATGCTGAATTTTTTACTTTAATTCTATATGTTTTACAAAAGTTTCTGAACTCTGATTATCCGTTTAAAAATACTTCTTCTGTAAAATACTTATCTTCTTCTTCTTCTTCTTCTTCTTCTTCATATATATATATATATATATATATTCATTTTCTTCCATCAACAACATTCCTCATTTATTTTGTTTTATTTATGATCAGTCAAAATTTCTACATTGATACAATTAATGAAACATGAGTAATATATTACCAAATTAATTATATATTTTGAATTCACATCCATTTCAAATTTTTAATGACCATCTTATCATTCATACTGAAAAAACATTTGTCTCAAAAGATTTTTTTTATATTAAATTATACATAATATACCTTCACAACATGTAGAAAAGGTATCTTTTGGTATTCAAACCAAATTTCCAAAAAGTTCCAATCCAATCTTAGATGGTGTAGGCCTCATGTCCAAACCCAAAACATGGTTTTATGTGCCTTCATAGAATTATATATATCACAACTATGGAATCAAAATCAGCCATAATTCATTTTTATTTTATGGCCTTCCTTAAGAACAAAACTGCAAATGCAATGGAAGTCCATGGTTGTAAATTATTTTAGGAGAGATTTTCAGGATCATTTTGCAAAACAATGTAACATGGGTTTTGTAGAAGTTTATCAAATTAAGAATGTGGGACTGGATTAACGTGGAAACCCTAATTGCGAGAATTAACTAATACGTTAATAACATTGTCCGAATAGTTGAAAGTTGGGATGAAACGTACCGACATATCCGTTATTTTGGCCGCCGTGAAGAAGGATTTGATCGAACCTTTCCGTTGCTGGATGTAGTCGCTCATGTCTCTTTGCAGAATTGGGTGCCTTTGAAGTTGTTGCCACTGATTTGCAATTCAGCAACCTCCATTGGTTTGATTTGCGGGGGAAGATGTTTCCCAGATGAAACTCATTCGACAGAAAAAACCGTCTCGCACGCTTTTGATGTGTGCAAATAATCAATCGTATGTGCGTGTGTGTGTGTGTGTGTGTGATACTCGCACTCAGATTGTCATGTCGTTGGTTATTGCGTAGACAATGGCGTCGAGTGTGATTGCGATATAGCGCCCCAGGGGGAGAGTTGCAGAGTTTGCGCCGGCTTCAGCCACTTTCATACACATAGTGCCGTGATGAAGGCAGAGGCGACTTAAGAGTGTGCTTGGATCCTCCTCCGTCCTTGACTGATGTCAAATCCAGTTGGGTCGTAAACCTAACATGTTTTTTGAAGCCTCTTCTCTCCGAGCTACCACCCGGTGAAGAAGAATTCATGCTCTTGAATGCGCTTTTGGTTGGTTGCAAATTCGGATGAGGCTCTCTGGTTTCAGGGTCTTTGATTTCAATTATCTCCTTGTCTTTTGATTTCTCTTTAGTCTTCGGCAGTTTGAAAGGAAAAGACAAGCGTAGCTTGTTTGTGCCACACATGCTGGCTCTGGCAAAATGCGAAGCTGCAGCAGTATATACACACCCTGGGAAGATTTAATCGTGGTGGCTGGTCCGCACAGACGAGCAATGACCTTTGGCTAGTTCAGAAGAGACGTTAGAAGACAAAAGTCGCCATGCTTCTTTGTGACGAATTTTGGTGCCTCAATGATTTGCTAGACCTCTTTTCGTAGTTGGGTTCTCATCACTCCGTCCGAAGAGTTCATCAAACAAAGTAACAATCGTGTTAAACATCTGCATTGGTTGCGCGTTGCAGCTGCCAGTTGACGATCTGCCCTCGCCCCACATTTGGCGTCCATCTTGGAAGCCACGAGATTCGGTCGGACATTAGAAAACTGCCACTATACGTCCTCATCAGGTCACACTTCTGGTCACGCCGCACCGACTTCTTTCACTGTGAAATTCACAAGCCGTCAGAATTATTTTGCGCTAATGAATGATTAACGGTAGTGTTATCCATCACAAGTCTCCCACCTGCTCATTTCAAGGAAAATGAAAATGCATACCTGTTCCAACAGATCAGTAGAGACAACCCTCAACTAATCTCCCGATGTTTCACACGAAGGGGAAGCAGGTTTGAGCATATGTTTGTGAGTAGTTCCGAGACATAGTGAAATTTGAGAATGTCTCTTGGAAGCGTTTTTTTATTTTCACTTTGCAACTCTACCTTGCGCCACTCAGATGTCTAGGGGCTTGATGGCCTGGAAGCACAGCAGACGTCGCTGCTCCCCCAGTGATCTTAAATGATCAGGCAATGTATGATTGTGTTTTTTTTTTTTTTTTTTTTTTTTTTTTTTCCCCGCTGTCAGCATCTCAACTATTTAGCTTTGCACTTGAACAAACGCGAAACAATAGGAGTTAACGAGTATAGGTAGCATACTCATGTGAAAGGGCCATAGACCAGGAGTTTGTAGCCAATCCTGGTACTAAACTAAACTTCGGCGATTTGCATTTGCATTTGCATTCCATATTGTGAAGCAGTGCGATGCATGCCGTCTGTTTTAAATTAATAAGGATCTAATTAGCATTCGCTCCAGCGGCAAACTACATATTTTTTCAAATTTATAAAGACATTCCTATAAGCAACATAGAATATTGGATTACTTACGAATGATCCTTCGCACTTCAACCCTTGGAATTGCACAAAAGCCGAATGAGATGCACTCTTGGAGAATATGCTTCCGAGTTTATGAGAACAGTTAATCAAGCGCTCTGCAGGCGGCGCTATCCGAGTCACCGTTTCTGGGTTTTTCTCCGTTCATGTCTGCAGGCCTCATTAATTCCAAGTCTTAGTCACAAACCTCCTGCACATCATCTACTATGCACTTGATCGAAGAAGCTTAACATGAGCTAAATGAAGTTTTGACAGGATTGTTTGTTTGAAAACGTGCCTCGCAGTTGCTCACCGCTTCGAAACAGCATTGTCAGGATTAGACTGTAGTGTGTGTCAGCGAAACCTTATCAAATGCAGCTGGAGACATTACCGCAAAACAATATTGGAACATAATAGAATCACATCCGAGAGAAGGATGTGGAATAACGGTGTTGCTTTTCATTATCGAGTGCAATGAAATTATGCTTATTTACATGAACCCATCACTTGGATTTGCTGCCACTATTCTCTTTGGCGTTTGTTATTTTCTATTGTTGCTACGATTAGCTGGTTGGTAGGTGCAGTGCCTCTATAAACTAAAGAGCGACTGTCAGCTTGGTCTACTTGTAGGTTTTCTAAACCTAACTAATGGCTATACAGAAGGGTGCTTACATGGCTGGATTTGGTCTAGTTGATATCTCTAGGTCAGTAATCCTAGTGACATGTTGGTGTGTTGATGTAAAACATTCTCCTTCACATCACATCCTTTGATATTGCAATTGTTAATGATTGGATTTATTCATGTGGTTGCCATGTCATTTGTTGAGGTTGAAGGCATTCAATTGTAGTATTTTGGTTGTTGTTGCATTGATTTGCATGGATAATAATTGGATTTTTTTGCTGATGTGATTGCTTTGTTGAAGAGGGCAAGTTTTTCCAATACAGAGATAAGAGGCAATTTGTAGCCTAGTTTGTGTCAAGGATAAGAATCAAAACAAGAAGAATATTAAAACACTGTTGTATAACTTAAGAAGAATAAATATTTACTTCAAAAGTAATATAGTATTAAGACTAGGATGGCTTTTGCCAAAGACAAAAAGATTA